TGGCCGCAGCGGCTCGGTGACGGTGAGCACGAGCAGGAAGAGCAGCAAGAAGGCACCGCTGTCTGCCTTAGGCACCATTTATCCTCCGTTCATCGTCCTCGGGGCGGCCGCGCGTGACGCCGTGGCGAGGCCTGACCGAGCCGGGCAGAGGGTCAGAGGACCGGGCTGAGGCAAGGCGCAAGGTAGAGGTGGGCCAGTGCTCTCGAGGAGCTGCGGCGGGGACCAACCGTAGCAGAACAGGGCGCAGACTCCCACGCACTGTAGATCGCAGCCTCAGAGTCCGACTCCGGATCTGCGCAAGATGGCCGCCGTCCTTCTTGGGCCCGCAGCCCCGCCCACCGCCCGCGACGCCTGGGCGGACCAATCAGCGCTGAGGTGGGGGCGGGGCCAGCCTTCTCCCCGGGGCGTGCGGACCATCTGTTAAGCTTGGGGTGGAGTCTGAGTGGCAGGGCGCGAAAGGGGCGCGGCCTAAGGTAGGAAAAGCCGAGGGCTGAGGCTGAGAGGCGGACCCGAAGGGGAAGGTGGGACGATAAACAGTGGCGCGTGCTATTGGCTAAGTAGGGGGTGGGGCTCAGACAGAGCCAGAGCCGCAAACCCGCCCAAGGGTTTAGAGTCGGACAGTGGGAGGCGAGGGTGGTAGGGAAGCCTCAGAGCACTTGGGACCCAAGGATGGGCTGAGGGGGCGGAGAGAAGTGCGGCTGAGGGAGTAGAGAATCCGCGGGGTGAAGCAGGACCCATGGGACCACGCTCAAAGGTGGTTTTTGTTTTGTTTTGAGACAAGGTCTCACTATGTAGTTCAAGCTGATCTTGAACTCAACTCACTATGTAGCCCAGGCTGGCCTCAAACTTGCGTCGATCCTCCTGCCTCAGCCTACCTAGTGTTCCGATTACAGGTGTGCACCACTATGCCCAGTATGGGTTTTTTTGTTTTTGTTTTTTTTTCCGGTTCCAGGAATTAAACTGGGGACCTCACGAGGCAGGCGGTGGTGGCACCACTCAGCTAAATCCCCGAGCCTCAGCCTGATGCAGTGGCAGATGCCTGTAATCCCAGCACTCCCAGCACTCTGAAGGCTGAGGCAGGAGGATTGCTTCCATTTCGAAGCCAGTCTGGACTCCTGGACTCCATAGTGAGTTCAAGGCCAGCCTGAACTACATAAGGAGACCCTGTCTCAAAGCGGGGGGCGCTCAGTGGCCCAGTGCCTGCCTTGCAAGTGCAAGGCCCTGAGTTTGATCTCCGGTACCAAAAAACAATAAAAAAAACTAATCAACTAATGTCCGTGAAGGACAAGGTCTGGAAGGTCCAGGGTTCTCAGGGGGGGGAAGGAGGGTCCACCCCGTGGGGAAGAAGCAGGTGTGGCGTCACAGACACAGGCTGAAATTGTTCCAGCAGATGAGGGAATAACCTAAGGTAGTGTCAGAGAGGGAGGAGAGGGAAGATTTCCTGGGAGCAGCTGGCTCTGCGGGAAGAAGGATCTGCCCAGGCGCTGAGGGAGAAGGGGAGCCCACATCTGCATGGAGGAAAGCCCTGGGCAGAAATGAGGCGAAGCTCTCTGGAAACAAACCTCTGAGGACTGGTCCCACACCTTCCGTCCTGACCGGCTGACCAGGGAGGAGGGACACAGATGGCGATGGTGAGTTCTGAGCAGCCGGGAGAAGCGAGCTGTCCAGAGCACCACCAGCCATGCCCGTGGGCGAGGCGGTGGGTGGTCAGGGCTGGCAAGAAAGTGAAAATGGTCCCTGCTTGACCCACCCCCATCACCCCTGACTCACTCAGAGTATCCTCGTCAGAGGTTTAGGGTTTCACTGTGTGACACTTGGGGTCATAGGGAGGGTAGTCCCCAGGCTGAAAGAAGGCTGTTCACACTCTAAATAAATATGCCCAAGGTTAAACCCAAATTTAAGCCAGACCCTCAGCGGCTCCTACTCTTCCCTGAACAGGTGCTGGACAAAGGGTTTGTCATCACATGGACCCAGTGGCCTGCAGGATAAAAAGGTCCCAGGGATCCAGGGCCGTCCCGACTGTTGCGCTGTTCTTAGGGACCATTCCCAGGAACAGCTGCCGGTTCTCAGCATGGGATCTGGCCCGGCCTTCTGCCTGTTTGCCCTGGAAGGGAAGCCGGGCCTACAGGTTGGGCAGATCCCCTAGGAGGGAACTCACAGCCAGGAGCAGAATTCCTGCCAGCTGTCCCTCTGCAGACCCACAGCAAGACAAGTGGACCAGCACAGGTTCAGATGGGGAGAGAAAAGCCCAGCCTAACCCTGCAGCAAGAGGGCACCGTCCCGGCTTCCCACACTGCAGCGAAGGCCGCACCGGGAGTCTCTGCGACTCTGACCCACCTATATACCCTTCCCGGCCCTGCTGTAGGACCCCGCAGGCTGCCTGTGTGGACAGCAGCAAGAACGGACGGACAGAAAAGAGGTCGGGGACTACGTCTTCCCTGTCCCTGTAACCTGGCTTCTTCCTTTCATCCATTGTCCCCACCTCTCTCCTGGTGGTCCTCTCTCTACTGCTCTTCTTGTGTCTTCCCTCTCCCAAGTAGGTCAGTGATCTCTTTCTGCCTTACAGTACCTAGACTGTCCTATTCTGCTCTCACCTTTGTATATTGCCCCTGTATAAGCCCTTCTCAAATTGTCCTTAATCCATTGTGCCTTCTGTTTCCTGCTGGAACCCTAACTGGTAGAGCCACCTGTCCTGGATTCCCTGGGATTACCTGATTTGCAGCCATCAACCCTGTCACTCCACATGCAGTCCTAACTCCACCTTTGAAAACAGTGACAGGCCTTCGTGTCTTCTGTGGCCCCTGCCTGCCTCAGGTCCCAGCCAAAGCACAGGGCCCCTCTGCTGACTCTCAGCCACTCCAGCCTGCTGATGGAGCTTCCAGAGTTCCAAGACCAAGTGGCTCCAGCCAGAGTCTCCTTCCTCTGGGGTGCTGAAGCCACCTGGGAGACGTTGCTGAATGTTCCTTCATCTTAAGAAGCTGGCACATTTGTCAGGCCCAGCTGCCCAGAGGGCTCTGTCCATGTGTAATTGAGGTTGCTGCTGGCTCAGGTCCCTCAGGGATGTGAAGGGCATCATCAGAGGCACCAAGTTCTTCTAGTACTATGGATGCTGCTGCTGACGAGGCTACATCATGGGGACAGGTTTGCTTGTTGTGAATCCCTGGAGCTCAGTGTGGCCGTCAAAATCATCGTCCTCAAAAAGCTCCCACAAAATTCATAGAGCAATTCCTTTGACAGGAAGTTAAGCTTCAGATGAGGTTAAACCACTCCTCCATTGTCAACACCTGTGAGATCTTTGATGAGGCGTCCCTAGGCAAGATCTATGCTGTCCCGGAGCTCAGGGTTGAGGGGAACCTCCTCAAACTCTTCAGACTCTAGGGAGCCCTCCCAAAAGATGGCTCTCAAAGAAGTTCTGCCTGCTCTCCTCTGCATCCAGTACTAGTGCCATGACCTCACTGAGACCTCAAGTACAGAAACAATTTGCTGGACAGGGACTTAAACATCAAATGATCTGATTTTGGCTCCTCCAAGCATGGCCTGCAGGACAGCAGCAGCTGACTGACATTAAGCAGTACCTTCTGTGGGTCTGTGGCATACTCGCAACGTGATGCAGCACCTCCCCTGTGATGTCTGACATTTGTAGCCTGGGCACAATCTTTTACATCATGGTCTGTGACTTCATGCACTATTACCACCCCAACATCATGAAACGGAGCATCACGCCAACTTCCAAGCACCTAGCCAGGGTGTGCAAGGACCTTTTCTACAGCAGCCCAACGTCAGCCAACACCTGCACAGCCAGGAGCTCTGCAGCCAGTGCTGGGTGCAGCCCAAGGCACCGAGTCTCCTCCACAGCCGCCAACCAGGGGCAGAATTCACAGGACACAGAAACCTCCTGAACGCCAGACTCTGGTTCTGATAAGAAGTCCAACACCAGCTGGGTGCTTAGGAGGCTGAGGCAGGAGGATCGTGGTGGATTCAGGGCCAGCCTGGGCTGTGTAGTGAGTTCAAAGCCAGCCCAAACTACATAGCTAGACTCTTATCTCAAAACATCAACAAAAACAGAAAGCTGGGCATGGTGGCGCACACCTGTAATCCCAGTACTCAGGAGACTGAAGTAAGAGGATTGCTGCAGAGTTCGGAGGCCAGTCTGGGCTACCTAGGGAGCTCAAGGCCAGCCTGTACTATATATTGAGACCCTGTCTCAAGAAAAAAAAAAGTTTGCAACTAAGCTGGCACCTCTAGAAGAGGTGTGGCCCGAACCACAGCCCAGATTAAACCTAGGGAAGAAATGGTACAAATGACCAGGCAGAGACCCAGGGCTTCAACATAGAGTAGCTTCCCGAGGAAACAGAGGAGCCCACAAGGACACACACACACGCAGCATTCTCTAGAAAGGCAAAATCTGGTGAGCCAGGAGGCCAACAGAATGGAGAAGAGCTCACAGCTTGAAGCCCGAGATGAGCTGCTATTTTTTGTCATGCTTTTCTTCTTCCCTTTGAACTCCACAACTGACTTGGCTAAAGAACAAATAAATCAGCCAAGTGTGGTAGCTCATGTCTGTAATCACAGCACTCTGGGAGGCTGAGGCAGGGGGATCACAAGTTTGAGCCTAGCTTGTGCAACTTGGTAACAGCAAAGTCCTGTCTCAAACTAAAAAAAAATAAAGTTTAGCCAGGGTTGGTGGCACACACTGTAATTCCGGGACTCGAGAGGCTGAGGCAGGAGAATTGCTGCAAGTTGGAGGCCAGCCTGGGCTACATAGTGAGTTCAAGGTCACCCTGAACTACATAGTGAGACTCTGTCTCAAAAAAAATGTTGGGGTTAGGGCCAGAGATTTAGCTCAGTGGTACCGCTGCCTGCCTCACCAGCACAAGGAGTGAGTTCCATCCCCACTACCAAAAAAAAAAAAAAGACGTAAATCATAAAGCCCGGGGTATGATAGTTAACTGATTGTCTTTTCTTTGTTTTTGGTTTTTTTTTGAGTCAGGGTCTCACTATGTACTTCAGGCTGGCCTTGAACTCTCTATGTGGGCTACCCCAGGCTGGCCTGTAACTTGTGGTGATCCTCCTGCCTCTGCCTCCTGAGTGCTCGGTGTCAGTTTGAGGAAGAAACATTTGGATCACCATAGTTCCGGGTGTGCGTGACACCAGCCAGTCTTGTCACCTGAACGGAAGAAAGGGGAAACAAAAAGGCAGCCTGGCTACTGTTTCTTTGGAGGAGCTCCAGGCTTCACCCTCAGCTTGGACATCACAGTCCCTTTGGCCTCCTGATGCAGACTCTCCTGGGACACTGCGGTGAGCTCCAGGGCTTTGGCTTTATCCTTCTCATCTAGAGCCCACAGACAGCTGTTTCGCACTTTCCCACACCTGACTCTCTGGGCGGCCATTGTAAGCTAATCTTGTAAATTCTTATATATTTGTCTATCTTGCATAAAATCTGTTCCTCTAGTAAGCACTGACTGACACACAGGGTGAAGGTCTTTGCCCAGCTGACTGCCGTCCCGGACTCCCTCTGGCTTCCCTGGTGTATTACAAACCCAAGCGGTCCAGCTCAGACCACGAGCTCAGGTTCTGGCTGAGGCATGGTTTGGGGGAGACCTGGAGGCGTGCGGGCCAGAGCAGGGAGCTGAGTAATGCGGTAGAGAGCAGAGCACAGAGTGGGGTGGGGAGAGGGCGAGGGGCTGGGTGCCTGCGGCGTTGCCTGTGGCCTTGTTTGGCGCTGGGCTCTAGGCAGCCGTGCTGCCAGCACCCCGGGCATCCAGCTGCACGAGCTGCCGGTAAGGGTGGGGAAGCTGCAGAGGGCAGGCAGACCAGCCTGGCAGTCCTCCTTGAGCTCCCCATCCTACGGGGGGATTTCTTCCCTGCTCTGTCCACCGGGGTTTCCCCATGTCCAGCCAGCACCAGGATCACCCCTCCTGTGGTCACTGTAGCCCAGAAGTAAGAGCTCCGATGGGTGGCCCAGCGTGTCCACGTCCAGTCCTGTGTAACCCTAACCACATGCCATGGCCTTCTAGTCCCAGCCTATCGTCCGTGTCGGAGCTGAAAAGCCGAACTGACAGGTGGGCGGGCATCTTCACAAAGCGTGTCTGGAGCCTGTGGGCACATAGGCAGCCCCCAGCGTCCCATGTGGGTGTAGCCTGCATTTGACACCATCGGCTGCCATGTGCTGCCCGCCCGCTCTGCACCGAGCGATCCACCTCACGCTGCCCCTCACGCTGTCCCTGCCTGAGTCTCCATCTCGGGACGATGCTAACCCGCAGACCCCTGGGAAGGGTAGGGTCCAGCAGCCCTGTCTCCTCCCCACATACAGCCCACCCCTCTCACCCCACCCCTCCGCCCCTCCTGTTACTTCCCACAGAGGCTGGGCGCCCCTCCTCCACCCAGCCTGGCTCCACCTCCACAGAAAGGCCCCTGTGACTGGCCCCCGAAGACTTCCCGGGCCTGGCCTCTTCCTGTTCATCCTCCTCCTCCTGCTGACCTCACTTTATACCCTCGTCCCACACACGGGCCATAATCATACTTCTGGGTTCACCCCTGCAGATACCACCTGCCTTCCCAGGCCCTGCCAAGGGGCTGTGGCCTCTGCGGCGCCTTCTTGGGGTCTTGAACACTGCAGCTCGCTCTGTGAACTCTGCCCAGGGTGCAGGCACAGGACGAGCCCTGCTTTCACTACAGGTGCCCCCTACCTTTCCCATGAAAAAACTCATGGTGGACATGGGGCTGGCTAGGCAGGGAGGGGCTCAGAGGCTCCTGAGCTGCTTCCCCGCTCTCCCCGACAGACCTGCCATGGTCCTCTGGGGAATGATGGCAAGGAGACTACAGGCAGCTGGCTGCAGCCCAGCCAGGCGTCATCCTGGACAGGAAGACTATAGCAGGAGCACCTGCCGTGTGCTTTACAGACGGCGACGTCTCAGAGAGGAAGGACGGCCACCTGAACTAGCACCCAAGGCAGCAAGTCCCGGTGACTGAAGCCCAGTCCTCCACAGATGCCCCCACCCTGTTGGACAGCTCCTATCAGCCTTGGTTCAGTGACCTTCAGAGGTACTAGGTGAGCATCTCAAGGTGATCCCTGTGGTCCGCTCCTCAGGCCATCGTGGGTTTTACCCACCCTCATCCTCCACACGGCTGCCTCCTCAGACCTCAGCCTCCCTCAGCTCAGTCCCCGTTCTCTGTTCTCTGTCCTCACAGCCCCATGACCCCGGATCCCAGCACAGGCCTCATTTATGCACTCACACTGGCTGCTACGGCTCTGAGCCCCACTGGCCTCTGGGCTCCAGGAAAGCATTGAATTTTTTGTTTCTGGTACTGGGGATCGAACTGGGTCCTTGCATTTGCAAAGCAGGTGCCGGAACCACTGAGCTAAATCCCCGGCCCTGAAATTGTTGACAGTAGCTCATAGAGCCTTTCAGCACCTAGAAGAGATCGTCAAGTGCTTGTGAAATAAATGGGTCGATGGCACCCACTTTCAAGAGGAAAGCAAAGCTCAGAGGACAGATTTCCCAGTGTTCAGGCCCCAGTGCCAACACTACAACCCTGGGAGGAACCATAAAGGTGCCCCATCCCATTAATACCCTCCCTCAAACATCACGGTGCCCAAGCCCTGTGTGCCAGCCACTGCATGCCCCAGCAGATCTGCCTGTGCCCGGCTGACGCCTGCTTCCTGCAGCATATCCCCAGGGAACCAGAGACACGCTGTCGCTGTCGCTGTCTGTCGTGGGCAAGGGCAGGATGTAAGGGAGCAGAATCCACCAATGAGAGAATGAGTTGATGGAGTCAGCTGAGAAGGCGGTTACGGGAGTGCTCCGGATTGAGCATCCCATTTCAGGGTACAAGGGATTGGGAGAGAATGAAAATGGCCTGCAAGTCTTAGCCTCTTCTGGGACACAAAGAAAGGAAGTTCTGGTCACTTCAGCCAAAACAAGCCCCCAGGAGAAAGGAATACACCGAGCTATTAACTAAAGCTATTAACCACCAATGCCCTACACAGTGTGGAACTCAGGCTAGTGCTGCTGGAAGGCTGTCATCATAGGCCCATCTGTCCATCCTGCCCATCCTGTCTGTCAGCCCGCCAGCATGACTCTGGCTGCCAGTCACAGAGCACACCCTCCCTGCTCCCAGTGTCCACACAGCCATTTCCCTGGCCAAGACGTCAGGTCTGCCGAAACGCCCGGCTCTTGTCCACCTGCTAGAGCCCTGCTAATGCTTTGCACCTGGGCTCCTGTATCACTTTCCCTTCGAAGCCTGTGCGTACTGGTTTTCCTGTTGCTGCAACAGAACACCTGACACTCCTAAGGTAAAGGAGAAGTTTATTTTTGGCTTATTATTTAAGAGATTTCTGTCCATGGCTAGCAATCTGCATGGCAAGAACATGACGGCAGAAGGGTGTGATGGAGCAAAGCTTCTCACTTCATGGCAGCCAGGAAGCAGAGAGAGAGTTCGTGACCAGATGCGGTCCCGAGGGAGTCCCCGATACCACCCGGCCTCGCCCAGGAGTGTGCTTTACCAGTCTAGGCATCTCTCAAGCCAATCCGTTGATAAGTTTAACTGTCACACCTTGCACCCACCACCACATAGAAACAGGTCTTCCTCAGTCTCTCTTTGAACACAGCACCCTGGGGCCACCAGTCTCGGAAGCTTCCTGTGGGCACAGGACCCCTGTGACAGACTAAAGATGAACATCAGGTATTCCAAAGTAGCCAAGGAGATTCACACACAATGCCATTTTCTGAGCCAAAATCCATGTACCAGGTACAAAAGGAGTGGAGACGCAAATGATGTACAACGCCAGGATCCAGCAGGCAGCTCCTGCCTACTCCTCCCACATCCAGTGGCAGGATTCCGACACCTCCAGCTTGTTCGTGGGCAGTCCCCCAGCCTCCCTGTCCACACACGCACACCAAGGCCTTCCCACAAGGTCGGCCCACTCACTGACCAGGTCCAGGCTGGCCTTTCTCTGGCTCCCTCTCACCCCCAGAGGCCATAGCTGTCTAAGGTCCAATGTTGCCTTGTCCGAGGGCCGGCTATGGCACGTGGAAACATTAACTCCACTCATGGCTGAGGCCTCAATGGTCTGTGATTCTGTGGCGCTCAAAGACAAGACAGCATCCGCTGAAGACAACCTGGTTCCTTGAGAACCCGGTAGTAATACAAAGAGAAAGGTTTCACCTGAGGAGGGAGGAGTTCCTTGTCAGCTCAGCTCATCCCATCTGCCGAGGTGGGAATGATCTTCCTGCCTTCATCAGCCTGAGACTTGCGTGGGCACAGGATCAGACATGAGATCACCTCAAGCCCCCCAAGTCACCTGATACTCCCTCCAATTATAGTGTACCCAATGAACAGTGGCCAGCTCAGAGAGTCCTTATCTTTGCCCGCTCTGAGGCACTGACCTCCCCACCTCCCATATACTTTAAAATTACGCAAGTCTCTATTGTCTTGTTTTTCTTGGCCCTTGCTGTCCTTTCTAGGTAGTTGAAGGAAATCGGCCTCTGATAGCCTAGCTTAAAAAAAACAAAAAGACTTGTATTAGCCATTCTCAGAAGCACTTTCTGCCTGTCCACTGGCGACAGCCCTGGCCATCCTCCATACTTGCCCCATCCCTCAGTACGCACAGCTGCCTGCCCCAGCCCCTAGGCCACCTAGGTGGGCACTTCGGGGCTCCTCAGCGCTGCCTGTCCTCCCACTCCTACACATGCCCCTACTCACCAGAGCACCAACAGCTCATCTGGCGGACTCTAGCTCAGGAATGCACAGAGCTGCCTTCACCCACTAGGCTTGAAACTACCACTGGCTTTACTGGACCTGAGCAGGTACCAAGGACACCACCCCAAAGAAACTTCAGGACATGGGCCCTGGTGGGATGAGGACCAAGGGCCAGGTCCCACGGCCAAGTGAGGAAAGGCATGGGAGTGGCACACTACTGAGCTAGGCTGCCTCCCGCCAGGCCTGACTCCAGCGGGGAAGCCTCGCAGGAAAGGAGCATCTGGGCGTGGTGGTGCACACCTGCAATCCCAGCACCCAGGAGACCAAGGCAGAAGGGTCACAAGTTCAAGGCCAGCCTGGACTACAGAGTAAGACCTGTCCCAAGGAAACTCAAAAACCAGGAGTGGGGAAGGCAGGGAGGCAAGGAGCAGGAAGCATTACCAGTCCCGGATGGTGACTTTCTTCCATTAGGCAGGCAGGAGTGCATTCTTCTAGGCGAGACCTGCTTCCGGCGGCCCTGTGCACAGTAGCCGAGTTCCCACTTCTAGAAGCCTGGCTTTGTAATTTCATTCACTCAGGGCACCGGGGATTTAGCTCAGTGGTTCTGGGAACTGCCTCACAAGTGCAAGGAGTTCGATCCCCGGTACCAAAATAATAATAATAATCATTTCATTCACTCGAGTCACTTGGGGACGGGGCTGAGCACGCCACCCTTCAAGTCCAGGTCCAGGCCAGCCAGAGGATCCCCCCAGTACAAACAGTGACACTACCCACTGGCCCTTGTGGGGAGGGAACAGAGTGGCGAGGCCAGCTACTCCTGGCCCCATGGACAGTGCTGCAGTCCCAAGGAAGAAGGGTTTCATCATGAGAATCGATCCAGGTTAAGGGCTTCTATGCAAAAGTCAAGTCTGCCTACTCAGAGTACCTGAAGTTCAGTGCGGTGGTGAAGACCATTCACAACAAGGAAATACAGACTTTGTGGCAATTCCTCCCACAGTAGATGGACATCTTGGAGACCCTCGATATTTTTGAAACCTTGAATGTACACACTGAATGTCACGGAGGCGCAGCACCCTGGGCAACTGACTCAGCCTGCCAGCTCTCGTCAGCCTTCAGATACTCCCATGTCCTCCTGGACACCATCCACAGGGTCCTCAAGGGCAGGAACTTTCTCCTCGACAATGACTTCAACATCAAGCTGCCAGCACACTGGCCTCGGTGAGACAGATGTCACCTGGCAGCAGCACAGCGGAAGCCTCGGTTACTGGTGGTTGCAGCCCCTGAAACACAAACCCTTGTCTTCGGATTCTCTTAAGAGGGAGGGAAGAGGGCAAGCAGTGGGTCTGGTGCAAATGCAGTATCCGGCCAGGCTCAAGGCCTGAGCACAAGCTGGGGGCCAAAACCCAGCATCAGCTGCTGGACGTACCCAAGAGTGAAGACAGGATGGAAGCCAGACTGGCCCTGAGGGAGCGGCAGCACCGGGAGGGCAAAGCACGAGGGCTGCGCGCACATAAACTAAGCAGGCCGGCGCAAGATGAGACACCGGGCGAGGGACAAGTAAAACCATTAATTAAGCCACTCTGATCTTGCTCTATTAGCTCTTCTTCCACTTGACAACAAAGACCTTAATAACCGACCGCCATCTAAACCAGGAAATATATACAAGCACACAGTGCCGAGAAGGGTCTTTTCCTCTAGGGCTCAGCTGGGATGGGGTCCCAGGACCAGTGCTTGGGCATGGGCAGACTCATGGTGAGGCTTGTGGCGAAGAGGACTCGGCTGCCTCTGACCTGTCCTGTCCCCAAAGCATGGCAGCTCCATGCCTCTCCCTTGCTTGCTGACCCCATCCTTCTCTCTCACACAGATCGTTCCTCCATGTCCTCAAATCCTCAGGACCATTTGAGATTGATGACGCAGGTGGGCCTTCTCCAAAGGGAAGTCCGGCAGAGACCACTCACCGGCACCCACCCCACCCCTGGACCAGCAAGCCCCACACAGCAGCCCTTGGTGTACGGCCACCATCTCTCCCCAGAGCATGCTCTCCACACACTAGGAGCCTGACTTGGTCAGCACTTGACCTCAGGTCTCTGCTTCCCCCAACCAGGGGCTCCCTTGGGTTAAACTGAACCTTTCCTCTGAAGCAAAAGCACCCAGATCCTTACCTTTCTGGACCCTAAGAATTCCAGCCCCAGGCTCCAGATCCGCCCTGAAGGTCCCAAGGCAGCCACCCAGGCACTTGTAGGAACGCACTGCATGGAAGTACAAGTTGGCAAAGACCCTAGGCAGGTGCCAGGCCCGGGACTGATCTCCGGAGAACACTGGCACTTAGGGGGTGAGAGAGCCCCATGCAGGCAGACTGGAGAAAACAGCTCATTCGGGGTTCAAAGCATGATTCTAAGCACAGTCCCTCACCACCCTGAGCCCTATGAGCAGTGTACATTGTGAGGCCTGAACACACGAGTATGGGAACTAGACATTGGTTCTGGACCCAGCCAGGCTAAGAGGGCAAGACCCTTCAGCCTCACAGACAGCAGGGTTACAGGACAGCTGGCTGCCACCAGGTGAGGACCAGGTCCACGTCCTCAGCCCACAGGCAAATGCTGGCCCATGCACACAGCGCCTGCAGCTCTCTGCAGCTCTTTCACACTGCAGCTGCAGGAGAGCCAGTGGGCAGGGCCAAAAGCAGGTGAGGAGAGCAAAGGACACAATGACGACGACCCAGCCCCACCTGAGCTAGATAGAAGCCAGGTGCCCAGAGGTAACGCTAAGTTACCAGGAAACTGACTCACACTGGGGTGGGGCTTGACAGCCCTGTAGATAGCAAATCAAGCAGGCTAGGACAGGCAGCGCCTAGAACACCAGCTGACCCCAAAGAACACAATTGCAAGGGCTCCATCCCTCACTCAGAGGAGCAGAGAAGTCAGGTAGAATAGAAATAAAAAGTAGGGCTGGGTGCTTGCGTCGGCAGCACATATACCAAAAAAGAGCCAGGAATGGTGGTGCACTCCTATGATCCCAGCACTCAGGAAGCAGGAGGATTCCCTCAAGTTTGAGGCCAGCCTGGGCTACATAGTTCAAGGCCAGGCTGAACTACATCGTGAGACTCTGCCTCGCAAAAATAAAATAACCATACATACTTACATAAATGGAAAGAAATAACTAAAAACTGAACATCCAAGAAGAATGCAAAAGCTAGGCATGGTGGCACGCCTGTAATCCCAGGACTCGGGAGGCTGAGACAGGATGATCACTGTAAGCTTGAGGCCAGCCTGAACTACAGTGAGACCCTGTCTCAAAATCAAACAATAGGGCTGGGGATTTAGCTTAGTGGTTCCACCACCTGCCTCGCAAGCATGAAGTCCTGAGTTCAATCCCTGGTGAAACAACAAAAAAAAACACCAAGCCTAGGGCCGGGGATTTAGCTCAGCAGTTCGGTGGCCTGCCTTGCAAGCGCAAGGACCCGAGTTCAATCCCCGGTACCAGAAAAAACAAAACAGGAGTGCAACTCCCAGGACCCAGCCAGTTACCCAAGGCAATCCATTATCAGCATTCCTATTTAGGCTCCTTCTGTACCAGACCCATCACACCCAAAATTCCTCAGAAATACCGAAAGTCCATAAATTGCTTTGAGAAAGATCTAAAGATAAAGGAAGAGGAGAGAATCCAAAGAATGTTTAAATTATCCATCTTTTTTTTTTTTAAACGGGGCTAGTACCCTTCCGGGGGGGTGGGCCACCTTTTCCCAGGATTTCAACTCTAAGAAAGCATGAATATTCCCTGTTCAGGAAACAATTCACTTCATTTCTCTGCATGACTGAGCTCTGCCCACCCTCCACCAATTAAGGATCAAACTCAGGACTCTGAACTTGCCAGGCAGGCGCTGTGCCCCTGAGCCACATCCCTGGCCCATCCACTCTTGTGTACTAAAATTTCCGCCTAACAGACCCTCTCTGTACGTCTTCCTGACTAGTCCTGAAAATTCTTTTTCTGCAACAGGAGTCAGTAAGCCTGCAAACTCTATGTGGGTAAGATTCCTCGGTTCAGCTCTGTAAACCAGCTCAGACTCTGTCCAGTGACATCTTCTCTCGGGGAAAGGAGGAATGTGCAGCTAGCTCAGCTCGGAAGGCAGTTCTGGGAACCACCACAGCTTCCCCACCCGCTGGGGGCCTTTCCAGGAGCCCTCAACTCCTCAGACTTTGATGGAGATCTCAAGGTTGGCCCTGGGGCCCAGATTCACGGCAAGGGATGGAAAAGCAGGTTTTCTTTTTCCTTTTCCTTTTTCTTTGCTTTTCTTTTGTACGGGGGATTAAACTCAGGACCTTGCACTTGTGAGGCAGGCGCGATGCCACTAAGCTAAATCCCCGGCCCTGTACCAGTAACTCTGCCATGACAGTTCAGGTAGGCGTTAAATAGAAAACAGTTCCACCAAGGCTCTAGGAGGCAGCACCGGTGCAGCGCCCCAAAGGGAGTGGTGCGTGTCCTGTGCCAGCCTGGCTGCTGCACAGCACTGTCATTGCTCCTGTGATGATCGACCACCCTTGGGCCCAGCCTTGGTCCCCAGGGGCTGGAGTCCACTGAGGATGCGTGGGCCCAGCCCAGGCTGGCTCTAAAAGAAGTCTGAGGCTTTGTGGCGGGCAGGGAGCTGCAGCAGGTTGTCCGTGATGGAGGCTGGGTCTTGTGTGAGGGGTGTGCGTGGGGCAGAGCCAGGAACTGGTGTGCTTGTGGGGGTGTGAGGCCCACCAGCCGGGGTCTTAAGGTGAGTTGAGCGCGCTGGGGATGGTGTGTAGCTGGCCCGCAAGGCACGATCCGTATACTTGCTGGCTGTCCTGCTCACAAGCCGCTGCAGAGCTGGGGACATGGCTGGACTCAGGCCTTTGGGTGTGAGGCTGGTGGGGGGCATGTGTAAAAAAGCCAAGGTTAGGAGGGCCAGGTGCTGCTAGGAGCAGGGCCTCCCCCAGCCCTCGAGTCAGAAGCAAGGTCATTCGGAGTTGGGGAGGACAGTATTTGGCAGCCTGGCACGCAGCAGTATGGCCAAGCATGAGGTCAAGTGGCAGACTCCAGACCTCTGAGAATCCAAGTCCACACCTCTCCGAGGGGAATGACGACACTGTCTCCACAGGGCTGGCAGGGGATCACAGCGGGACAAGGGGCCTAGAGGTGCTTCTGAGGGACAGACCCAGGAGGAGATGAGGAAATGGTGTGGAGCACAGCTGACGCCAGGGCAGCCAGGGCAGAACCCTAGGGCCCTGCAGGCCAGGCATCCACGCAGCCGGGTTCAGGCAAAGCAGGGGCGGGACAGGGACAACAGCTCGTCCTCATCCCCCTCCCCACCTCCACCTGAGGCCCTGAGGACCCTCACCTGGCCAAGTTCTCTGTCACTCTCCGCAGGGCTTCTTGCTTCTTGGCCCGGTTCTTGGCAGCAGCCTCATTGGCCATCTTCAGGCCCAGGCGCTCCCTGCGGCCAGGCTCCAAGATCTACGAGGAAGAAGGCATGTGAGCGGTCCCAGGCATCCTTCACCCAAAGGAGCGAGTGCTACGGGCGCCAACCTCTTCCCCCTGGCAGCCACAACCCCAGCAACCCACCATCACCTCCCCCAAGAGCTGCTCAAAGCCTCACTCCGCCCTCCAGACCTGCTCGCACACCTACCTATCCTCAATGGCTCTCACGGCCAGGACCACAAGACGTGAACCCCTGACAAGCTTGCAGGGAAGAAAGGGGGTCTTGCTTTCATTTCACACCCTCTGATTATCAGAGTGAACATCCTTCTGCTTTTACTGGCCTTCTGTGATTCTTTCAAAAGGCTCCAGATGTGAATGAGACCTCTTTTTCTACAGAGCTACTTGTTTTCTTGTTTTGTTATACAGGAGTTTTGTCTCCCAATCAAACTAAACCATAACCAGGCGTGGTGGCACATGCCAATAATTCCAGTACTCGGGAGGCTGAAGCAGGAGGACTGCCACGAGCTCAAGGCCAGCCTGGGTGACATGGTAAATTCAAGACCAGCCTATATACATAACAAGACCCTGTCTCAAAAATGAAAACAGTAACAATAAATAAAAATAAATGAGCCATCCCATACAATTGCTTTTCAGTTACTTGGTTTTGCTTTCTTTGTGACATTTTTGGCTATACAAAAGCTCACCATTTTCAGGGCCAGGGATTTAGCTCAGTGGCAACACACCTGCCTTGCAAGTGCAAGTTCCTGAGTTTGATCTCCAGTACCAAAAAAACCAAAAAACAAAAAAAATTTCATCATTTTCACAGACAACAGTCCCCACTTACCTTCACAGGATATGTTCTGAAACTCCCCAGAGAACACCTGAAAGCTGAAATAGTACCAAACCCTATTGTGCTATTTTTTTCTACTCATACCTATGATAAAGTTGAATTTACAAACTACGGGCTGAGGATGTGACTCAGTGGTAGGCAACATGCTTGGCACATGTAAGACTCTGAGTTTGATCCCTAGCACCAACACAAAAGAACCCAAAACCCCCATAAATCAGCTATAGAAGGAATTAAAAACCACTAAGATGAAACAATTATAATAGTATGCTGTCATAAAAGTGACATAAGCTTTGTGAATTTATTTATATAAGTCCCTATGAAACATTTTCAGAATGCAGATGACTTTGGGTAAGTAAAACCTAAAACCTTGGACAAGGGAGGACTACTGCACATAGTACTTTAATTTTCTTTTCCTTTCATGGCTAGAAAGTTCTTCCTACCTTAAGAGCAGACTAAGGGCTTGGGCTATAGCTCAGCGGTGGAACACTGGACCAGCATGCACTGAGTTTCATCTCCAGTACACCACGAAAAATATCAGATGAATATTTCCTCATTGTTTTCTTCTGTCTTGGGGTTATTCTTCTTACATTTAATCCTTTCAACTTTCTAGAATTTATTCTGCTCTACCTATCAAGGACCTCTTAATTCCAAACACTGCCATTCAGCAAAATTTGAATGTCATCTTTATTTTTTTTGTTGTTGTTGGAATGTCATCTTTATGATACCCTCAATTCTTTTTTGGTACCAGGGATCGAACTCAGAACCTTGAGCTTGCGAGGCAGGCACAGTGCTCACTGAGCCAAATCCCTGGCCCTATACCCTCAATTCTTACTTGGGCCACAGCTTGTTTCAGAACCTGTCCTTTGCTATCGGCACACAAGCTTGAGGCACAACGGCACACTACTGGTGCATCTACAACCTAAGGATATGCTTTAATGTGGATGGCACAGGGCTTGCTTGGCTATTCTTCTCTCAAGGTTTCTGTTTTGTTTCTGGTACCGGGGATCGAACTCAGAACCTTGTGTTTGCAAGGCAGGCGGCAGCACCACTGAGCTAAATCCCCGGCCCTCAAGTTTGTTTCGGTTATCCATGCATCCCCAGTTCTAGAAACAAAGCACCCAAAACGTCTGCCCACATTTGTCAGGATGTACAGTACCTCTAGAAGGCTCTCCTGCCAGTGCCCTTAGGCTGGTCATGGGGAGACGTTCTCCTCCTCAGCACTACAGTATGGCTCTATGGTTTTCCTTACAAAAGCCATGTAGTTGTTCTGCTTCTACTGGCACCTAAGTGATCTCTTTCTCTACCATATTTCGGTATGAACACTGCTGAACGAACTGGCTCAAGACGATCTTTTCTGACACAGTCACTGAACCGATCCAAATATTCATTCTTAGCAGGGCATGTTGGTGCACGCCTGGGGAGGCTGAGGCAGGAGGATCGCTGTGAGTTCGAGACCAGCCTTGGCTACATAGTGAGTTCCAGGTCAGTCTCAACTACAGAGTGAGACCCTGTCTCAAAAAACCCAAAAAACAAATATTCACTCTTAACTCCACACCCGATTCTGTCACATTTCCAAAGCAGATGATATAATCTACACTCTTAGCCTCAGCAACCACACAAACCTCTAGCTCCCTCTTGTGATACCCGAGTCCGTCCGCACAGGTAGGGGCTCAGAACCCAAACAGGGATCTCTCCTCCTTCCCTTTCCAAACAACTCAGCAGTTTTCCCAGACTCCCGGCAGGCCAGAGCATCCTGCCTTTTCCGTGGCTCACACTTACTCACCTACTCATCCATGCTTCCGTGGGCCACCAATTCCTATAGGCTGTCTGTTCCCCACTTTCTACCCCACCTCAGGGGCATCCTTCACTGCTTTCTGTAACCAGAAGCCCGGCTCTGCCAGCAGATAGCTCTTCTGAGAACACAAACTAACTCCCAGGGTCCTGAGGCCTGCAGAGCAGCTGCAGCTCCTGGCCTAACCCTGCGACCCTCCTACCTCATCTGTGAGCAGCTGTGGTCTCCAGGCCCAAGAAGGGCAGAGGTCACCCACTCCCCGCCTTGGCGGTGCCTTGGCCCTACTCTTCCAGATCCCTCCTGGACACGCGTTCATCCACTCACCCTGGCCTTCAGAAGTGCCAGTGCTTGGCCCCATCAACTGGGCCTGCTTTGACCGATCTTGGGCAACAAGGGCTCAGCACTCCTCAGGCACCCACACTGAGTCCTACCCTTCCTCCCCTCACCACTACCCACCTTGAAGGCCGGCCCTGGTGTCCTGTCCACGTAGGGGGTCTCTGACCCTTCAACTCTCAGCGGTGTGTTCTCTACCTCCCCCCAGGTCATCAGCGGGGACTCGTTCACACCTGCAGATGGAAAGACCAGTCACCTCAGGCCAGGGCACCTAGTTGGGGTCACCACCTCCGGCCTCCTCCCCAACCATAGCCAGTTACCCGTGTCCATCCCAGCTAACGTCAAGGCCAGCAACTGGCCCTCTGTCCTTCCGTTAGACTCAGGAACCGTGTCGCACCCATTCTCTGAGCAGGTAATGCCAGGATCACTGTAGGTCCATGGCAGGGGACACGGATTCGGCCTGAGAAAGTTAATCAGCCAGATCCTATTCTATCACAGGACCAGGGCCCTCCTAGAGGTCACCCTCATCCCAAGAGAGGATACACACAGGGCTCTCAATACTCCCGAATCTCCCAGGATTTAGCGCAAGCCTGTGGCTCCACGTGGCCTGGTCTACATCACGCACCTGGTGCCTGAGGGCACAGAGGCCAACAAGGAGGGCACGTCATGTGCCCTGAGGGACCAGCCCCAGTGTCACCCACCTAGTGAGGAAACGTGGGGCCTGATTCCCAGAGCCTCTCCACCCTACAGTGTCCTCCGCAGTAGAGCTGTGAGCACTGCCCACAGCATGCCTTCTGCCGACACTGAGGAGCGGACCCGAACAGGAACCAGTACCCCAGGGCACCTCGGGTCCAATCTGTCTGAGTCCAGGCCACCCACAGCCCGCACCAGCCTTGGCACGAAGCCCATTGCTCACCAGGGGCAGGAGAAGGGGTGGCAACAAACCCGAATCCGCCTACTCGGGGGGACTCCTGGGGAATGAGCTCCTTGCCGTCAGGGCCGACCTTGCCCTGTTTGTGCTGGAATAAGCAGAGAGAGTAGTGTCAGGCAGCTCTCTCCCCAGATGGCCAACAGTCAGGTACATAGGAACTCACTGCAAACACTTCTTTCTTTCCCTGGGGCAAAGCTGGACTTCCAGGCAGGCGGCCCTCTTGAGGAGAGGGAGGAAGGACCTCCACCCTCACAAAGACCTTGAGGCCTGGCAGAGTGGGTACCAAAGCAAGGAGTATCCCTTCTTCCCATCCAGGAAACCAGGGTTCATGAGAGCGTGTGCTTTGTCCTCTTCCCCTGAGGCACTGTAAGCTTCCCTATCTCCTGCCTCCACCCCTTAACCCTATGATTACCACAATCACCACTGGAGAGCAGACTTTTTTTTGTGTGTGTGTGTGTGTGTGTGTGGAACTGGGGATCGAACTCTGGCACTTGTGCACAGGCAGGGAGCGAACCACTGCCTGTGAACCAAGCCAAATACCCCGCCCAGAGCACACTTTTCTTGCTCCCAAGCTCAGAATCTCTTTGCTGCCTCCTCAAGTCCTGTGGCACTGCAGGCCATTCTCTGGGGCCAAGCACTTTTTTGGTACTTACTGGTTCCCCTGGCTGCTCACCTCATTCTACCCACAGCCCTGCCTCGTGTGTGGACACGTGTGTAGCCAGACAAGGCTGGCTCACAATGGCCTTTTCTCTGGGGCGTCTGCCATCAGATCTGGGTCCCCAGAACGAATCTAACCAAAACAGTGTCCCAGTAGAAGCCTATCCAAGCTGATCAAACACTCAGGGCCCTGCCACGCAGGGACTCTAATCCTTCTCCACCAAGCTCAAGGATGGTCCTAACTTTAAGGAGGCAGCCATGATGGGTGAAGCCATACCTGCCCTCAGCCACCTCTGACCCTGTGTGCCTGCTGGCCCCACTGCATTACCTGGGCATTGAGGGCAGCTGCCTGCTGCAGCTGGGATCTGCTCAGAGCCTGGCTGAAGGGGTCCCTAAGGAAGCGAGTGTTCTTATGCACCACTTGCCGGGGTTCCTTAAACAGCTGCTCTTCATCAGGGACACCTGGCAAACAGCAGAGATGGCACTTGTATCAGAGTGGCAGACAGGCCCCACCTCAGCCACAGCGGTCCTGCAGCCTGAGGGACAATGCCACACTGTTCCTCTCAGTCACGTCACGCCCACCCCAACACGTATGTGCAGTCCAGCTCACAGATGAGGAGTCCCCAGGCCCACGCTCTGAAGGCCAACAGAGCCAGACACACGCAGCTGTATCCCTTGTGTCCCCATCCTGCCACCCAGCCTGCCCACTCACCCTCTGGATAGTACATGAGGGAATTCTTGGCCTTGTATTTCCAGGTCTCCACGCCAGCCTGGCTGTTCTCGATGGCCTGGTGCTCTGCTGATGGGAGTTCAAGATTATCTTTCTGCCTCTGCAATCACATGGGGAAAAGTGAGGGTCAGAGGGACCTCTGGGGACTACGCCTATGGCCCCAACAGAGGAGGCCAACATCCCCTAGCTCCAGAGCTACCTTCTCAAATTCCTCCTCAGCCTGGTAAAGCCAGGCATGGCGGGCCCGGCTTTTCTCCTTGGCCACCTCCATGATCTCCTGGAAGGAGGCATTGTCTTCGCTTGTGTAGCAGCTCAGGAAGACATCCAGGCTGGGCAGTGGCTCCTTTTCCTCCTCCTCTCCAGCCTCTCCTGCGCAGAGGTGGCAGGCGAGAACACAGTAACACACGGCATAGATACCACTTTCCAGTCAGAAGAGACTGGTACACCCAGTCCTGGGAATCACACCACCCTATAAGCAAGGGTGGAATCCTCACCCTGTCAGAGAGCTCTCCATGGGGGTACAATCAAGCCACTTCAACTGCCCAGGGCACCCTGCAGCTGTCTCTGTCCATTTGCCAGAGGCCAAGAGAAGCATGTGATCTGATTGGTTAGGTGGGATAACGGCGACTCAGGAATTAAAGCAGGACACTGGAAGTTTCTTTTCTGCCAACATTGTACTGATTCTATAGGACCTACAGCCAAATCCCCAGGACTCTCCCTTCTTCCTGGGATTTTCTCACCATCACCCCTTTTCCCCAAGCATTTGGACAAGTGGGTGATTGTCACTTAAGCATCTAGACCTGCCAGCTTGTCCTTGTGGCAGAAACCTCATGTGCCCCACGGGTCCAGATGGGGCCTCGCAGATACTGGACCACATCCCTGCCACCATGGAAAGCAACACTCCTGCTGAGATAGCATCCTGGGGCTGCTACCAATTTCTGTGAGGCCATTTGAAAGACGTTTTTTTTCTTTTTGTTTTGAGACAGAGTTTTGCTAAATTGTGCAGATACATCTTGAATACCTGGGCTCAAGTGATCTTTCCACCTCAGTCTCCCAATTAGTTGGAACTACAGCTGGCACCACCAGATCCAACTCCAAGGGAGGTTTTTCTGTTTTTTTTCTTTTTGGAGACAGGGTCTCACTATGTAGCTCAGGATGGCCCTGAACTCCCAGTTATCCTCCTGCCTCAGCCTCCTGAGTGCTGGTATTAAAGGCATGTACCATCACACCTGGCCTCTAGTGACAATCTTGACCACCTGCTACAGGCTAGACTGTGCACGAAGCTAGTAATCAAAAAGGTGAAAACCCAAGCCTCAACCACTGACTATCTCTGAGAAATTATCGCCTTTTGCAGCCTCAGTTTCCTCATCTGTAGACATGAATGGCAGGTTTCTATCACCTAAATTATGGAAAGAACTCCTACACTGACTGGCATATAAGGTGTTTCTATATAAAAAGAATCAGCTAGGCATGGGAGTACAAACCTATAATTACAATACTTTGGGAAGAGGACAGCAAATTTGAGCCCAGCCTGACTGACTTCATGAGACCCTGTCGCTAAATACAAAATAAAAAGGTCTGGGGAGGTAGCTTAGTGAAAAGGCTGAAAAGAAAAAGGATCTTCAAACTGCCCTGAAGCTCATGAGTTATGTTTCAATAAAGACCCAAGCTCCAAGAATGACATGACAGTGTGCAGACAGCAGGAAGAGCCAGGCTGTGGAACAGAAGTATCACGTTCGTTTGAACACAATGGACTTCTGTGTTAGCGTACCATACGACGCATCAGAACCTGACTGAGGAAAAGTATCTTGTCCACCTCTGCCTATGCTGAAGAGAAAACTACAGTGAGCAAGAAGTTCTGTAATTGAAGATACTCTTATATTCAAAGTGGCTTAGAAGGCTCTTTCCTAAAGAGATTTCCTCCTAAAGTCAGGGTGTATCCTATACATCCACATGTCTCATATTCCAGTACAAACTTGAAGACAACCACTCATCTGTTCTACTTTTATGTGCTGAAGGCCCACACACACCATGTGCTATTTCACATGGGAAGCAACTGCTCTTATGCAGTGGATGCTAATAAGGGTGAGAGGCAAGAAACTGAAGTGTCTTTTCAAATATTACATCCTAGGGGCTGGGGGTTTAGCTCATTGGTTTCACTGCCTGCTTCACAAGCACAAGGACCCAAGTTCGATCCCCCGTACCACAAAAACAAACAAACAAAAAAACAAAATAGTATATGGATGCTCAAATATTACATCCTACAATGAACAAAAAGCTCGCAGTCTGGACAACTTAGTAAGACCTACCTTAAAAAAACCTGAGGAGTTGAACCCAGATCTTCGGTGTCCTCGAACAACTCTCTCTAGCCTCACAGATTGCTATTTAGGAGATCCCTCAGGGACAAGATGTGTGCTGCAGCCCCTGGGCCTGGCAGAATATAACTCCCAGACAATTGGGACCGTTCAACCAACAGAGGGGGCACTCACTCACCTTCCTCCAGGACTCCAGCCCTGGGCCTGGGCTTGTTGCCTACCACTCCAGTACCTGCATGTACCTCAGGGGTTTCAAATGTGGCTGGAGTCACATCTAAGGGAAAGAGGTTAGAAGTCAGAGAAAGTAAATGGTGACACTCGATGGGCTTCTCCCCTTTGCCACCCACAAGGTCCTCTTACAAGGTGGCGGAGGCTCTCGGGACATCTTGCCCACAGCAGAGCCAAATTTGATGGCAATCTGGCGCATTCGTTCCAAGTCTCCATTTTCCTCAGCTTCTAGATACTCCTTCTGTGCCTGTAGCTTCTCTATATCAGGAAAGAAATCCCTCTGGATGACTGTCTGGAGGCCCTGTTAGGAGAGAGCAGAGCAGAAATTAGAGCTGCCACGTGGATGCCTTACCGTGTAGCCCACTATTATACATCCTTTCACTTCTGCCTGCTCCCATAACTGGGGCTTGCTTGAGAGAGTTTAGGAGCACTTTCTGGTGAGGCTGAACATCCCCTCTGGTCTGACATTACTAAATACTCCTTTCATGCCCATGAGACCCTCCTCTCTCCCTTTACTAACCCGTCATTCTCATTCTCCTTTGCCGGCTCCACCTCCACACCAGCCAGGCCAGGGGGCACTGCCACTTAATTCCACCCAGGAGCTTCTGTTTCGAATCTGAACCTCTCTCCTGAGTGACTTCAGCCGGTCACCCTCTCTACCGTTAGCAGTTGAAACCCCCCATTCGCCCTCCCGCTAGACCTTGCTATGGAGCTGCAAACCTGCACCCAACTGTGCACCGACGCTACCCATCTGCGCATCCCAGAATATTCCAGATTTAACCGATCGCAAACCCAACGGGCTCCTCCACCCGAGGGTCTGCGGCAGGACCAACCCTTACTTCAGAAGCATCCGAAGCCCACTCAAAAAGGCTGCCACAACCGCCGCTTATTTCCAGAATTCCCAGCCCTTATACTGGCTGTTACCGTCGTCGAGAAAGTCCCCCTTGTCACTATTCTCCAAATGTGTCAAAATCCTATTTATACTTCAAGATAGAAACTTTTCTCTGACCCTCACCATATACCGCCCTTTTTCTACCCTGAAAACACTGTTAGTGCCCCAATCGAGGACACCTCCCCCTGCACTGTTTAGGTGGCTCTCGGATCTGTCCACATCCCAAAAGCAGGGACGCGGTTGTTCCACTTCCTCGAGCGGGCCGGGCACCAGGACCCGAAGAGAGAGGACCCGCGAGAAGCCCCCCCCCCGCATGGGGGCGGACCCGGAAGTCTCCGGCCTCCGCAGAGGGGTACCTCGATATACTCTTCCTCATCTAGAACTCGCTGCTTCCTCTTCGCAGCCCCAGTCTCCCCATCCGTGCTCTTCTTTGGGGAACCGGACGCGCTGGGGAGCAACAGAGACCAACCCGAAGCTCCCGGAGACCCCATCCCTATCCCAGAAGCGCTCGCGCGGTACAGAAGCCCCGCAGGCTTTTGGGGACCAATTACGCCTGGACCTTCAATAGCCAGCCAGCCAATGAGAAAGCAGTGCTTTTCTAACTCCCCGGCGCTCAGTAATGACGCCACTACAAGCGCTTCGTCAAGGGAGTTGTAGTCTTTCTCCGGCCTTGCATTGTTCACGGTCGTTTGGTCAGTGCACACAAGGGAGCGCTGTGTTGGAAGGCGTTGGACGTGTCAAGCTAATGTTCTAGTATTGGGGGAAATAATCGCAACGTGTGCTTAAATTTATTTTTAAAAAACACTCCAAAAATCTGGTTATATACACGTACCAAACTTTATGCAAGAATAGAATCCTAAGACAATTCTTTCGTGACAGTTATCTAACAGAAGATAATTGAAAAGAATAAGACGGCGACTTCATAAAGACATCTCTAATTAGAGACTATTAGGCTCCTAAATGCCAGACTGCGCTAAAGAGAATAGGGCCAATTCTCACTGAAATGGGACAGGACACCGCCTAAGCATTTTTCGGGAATTTCTTCACCAAAAGAGGCTGTAAAATATGTTAAACAAACCAGTACAATTTTGCTTTTACAATATGCAGTTATCCTCTCATCCATTGGGATCCACTGGGGAGTACACATCTCATCCCTGGTAATGTTTCTGCCTTCAGATAGCAAACAGTTCCGTGGAAAATACAGACACTAGTTACATCACCCTATTTTTAAAAAGTGTAAAATTGCAGTCGTGATGGGTTTGTACTTGAGAATCTTGTCCTAGCAGGGGAAATTGAGGGCAAATTTCTCCAAGCAGAAAGTGGTCAAAGATCCAAAAGGTGAATGGACAGGCATTGGTCGGGCGACTGGGAGGAACATATGCAAAGTCCCAGGGGTGGCAGGGAGCAAGGGAGGTTCCGAAGCAGACCTTTAGATATACACTGAGTACAGCGAGGTGTGAGATGATGCTAGGGAGGCAAAGACAGGCTGCTCATGACATTGCGGGTCCTGGAGAGTAGGAGTTTTGTCTTTATTCTGAATTAAAGGGGGGCCAGAGGAGGTGCAGCCAGACAAGATGGAGAGAGCTACAATGGCCAAGATGCGAGGTGACTGTCACTTACATCAAGCAGTGCACCCGGAATTAGAAGGTAGATTCTGGGATTTATCAATATATGAACTGCTGCTGTTGGGCAGGGTGTGGTGTGAGAGTTAGGGAGCAGGCAGGTGGTCACTAGCTCTGTTCACTCACCTGGTCTGCACAGGGGAAAGAGCTCACTGTGGACAAGGTACACCTTCCAGGCGGAGTACTGAGGGACAGTTTGACATAGTATCTAGTTTGGGGGAGAAGCCTGGGCTGGAGCTACAAACACGGTGGAGAGATGAGAGTGGAGAGAGGCAGTGGAAAAGATTAACCAAAACAGCGGAGCTGGAGGGAGCACTGGAGACTCTCAGACATCGCGTTAATGGTCTGCTGGCTCGGGCAAGGGGAAACGGCTGGCTTGCCAAGGAGCAGCTGGAGGAAGGAGACAAGTCGGAGGGGCAGTGGTGCCTACAAGTTGGAGCTCAGGTGCGCTCTCATCGTGGTTGCCCTAAACAACAAACGGCCAGTCAGCCCGGGAGGACAAGGAGCCTGGAACCCAGTAAAATGAGTGTCCCAACCTGCAGGAAAGCTGTCCAGGACACAATCAGGTCCACAGATAGACAATGCAGGGCACTGTCTTCAAGGGCAAGGGTAAGATTCAGGGCAACATTTTGTGACAGCCAGAAGTGTGTGTCCTGGAGAGTTGAAGTGAGCACCTGTGCCGTGTTGGCGCAGCTCTAGCTGGGGAGCACCATATCTGCGTAGTGTTACCTGAACCTGTCAGCCTTAGAGAGCCCCAGGAGCCCTGGCTTCTGCAGTCTGCTTTCTGTGGATGAGCTGTGTCTCTTGCAGACACCACTCCTTAACACCCTCAGGACACAGGAAACAGAATAACGTGCTCACGCCAAGTGAGCGGGTGTTGGGAGTGTCCGGCTCATTGCATGGGTTGTCTTGGGAAATGGAAGCCTTGCTTTTCATGCTGTCCTTCACACTGGAGCCAGGGTGGTGGAGGGGAGGGCAGGCATTGACCAAGGTAGTGGGAGTATGGTTTTCCAATCCAACCACGTCATGGGTGTCGGGATGGCTGAGTGGGCTAAGGCACCAGACTCAAGCGGCGCACCGATCCAACCACATTTTGCCCCCAACTTGGATGACAGGTTGACAGCTTCGAGAGGCAGATTCCACTGGACAGAAATCCCCAGAGGAAGGAAGCCAAGAATTCCTATCCATGAAGCAGGTTAGCAGTGCCTAGAGACCAGAGCAGGCCCCCAGAGGCCCAGACACCTTCCCAGGGCTAGTGTGCTTGGCTGGGGGCACCTAGTATAAGGAGTTCAGACTCCTGGGCTATGTTCCCAAAGACTCCCTACCCTAACTCCTCCTCTCCGGGAATGGGGGGGGGGGGGGGGGGAGGGACAGCTCCCTGCTGGGTGTGGAAATGGAGTTAGGGCAGACTTGGGACTCTGTACCGCTTTTGTGGTATTTGTAGCTCTTGTTCTTTTCTGGTATCAGCACAAAGCTGAAAGATTAAGGAACAGGCGGAGGGCCTTGTGGAAATTACTTCCCAACCTTCTTACTCTGCAGGATCAGACACCAAGACCAGCAGCACAGGGCCTTGGAGGTGACAACAAGCCCTCTACCCTGCCCTGGGAGAGAGGAAGACAGGCCAAGGGGCCTGTGTCCATATGAGGGAGGAGGGAGGCCAGCACGCCCTTGGGTGAGAAGGGTGATACCACCGAGGGCTCTGGGCCCCTGTGTTTTCCGGTGCTAGTTTCTGTCCTGGATGGGGTCACTGCTTCTCTGGGCGGCTGGCAAGGATTGAGGAAGCTGACCTGCTCTCCGTCCCACTCCACCACCAAGGCAATCGAAGTCCCAGTGGTTCCTGCCTGACCACCCCAGGGAGGGCAGGGCACCAAGGTGTGTGGTGTTCCCTCCTCCTAGGGGCAAGCGGTGCCAGGACACACACACACACACACACACGCACACACGCACGCACACACACACACACGCACACACACACACACCCCACCCGTTCTAGGTGGCAGGAAGCTTGGAGAATGACAGAGGAGGCTGCAGCCCCCGCTTAGCCTCGGGTCCCACAGGTCTGTCCTCTCTCTACGCAGCCCCCAAGGTCAGCACCGCGGCCGGGAGTAGCTCCCAGCACCGTCAGCATCGCTCCTTGGGAGGTTTCTTGGCCCCCGGCAGGAGCCTGGCAGCGGCTGAGGCGCGCTTCTGGTGTCTCCACTTGGCCCTTCGGTTCTTGAACCAGACCTGAAGAGGAGGAGGAGGAAGAATTGGAGAAGCAAAAGGATGAGGAAGAAGGAAGGAGGAGGAAGAGGAGGAGGAGGAAGAAGAGGGAGGAGGAGGAAGGGAAAGAGACTTCTCCGACCTCCGGGATCTCTGCCTGCTCCGACGCCCCCTTCCTGAAGGGCCTGCAGGAGGCCTGGCAGGGGCTTCTAAAGCAGACCTTCTTTCCCTCTTCTGCGGCAGACAGATGGGCACCCCTGCGAATGGGGGGACCCCCTTCCCACCCTGCCCAGCCTCCGCCCAGCGGCGACCACGACGAGCCTTCTGCGGAAGCTCTGAGCATTTATTTCCGAACCTCCCAAATCTGCCACCTGCATAAATGCCCGCTTTACGATCAGGAAAAGGCGCAGGGTTCACATACAGGCCAAGAACACTACCTCCCCTCCCCTCGGGTTCCAGGGTCACTTTTCCCACACACACCTCCCGCTCGCTCCCGCCCCGGCACTGAGCCTGCTCGCCTTGCCTCGCCCAGGTCCCCCTCCTCCGAGGCCCGGGT